TTCAATCATATTATTAAAAAAAATGATTTCAAAATTTTAAACTTTGTTCTTGGAGGGGGTTTTGCGCATGATTTATCATAACACCGGGGGTTTGACGCATTTTTTAAATCACAAGGGGTTAATGCGCCGAATTTTTATTTCATGAGGGGGTTTGGTGCATTAAACCCAAATAACTAATCTACCAAAGATATTATAAGGTCCTTCGGTAAAAACCTTAGTTCTATCCTGCTCATTCTTAAATTTAAAAACCACCCACCCCTTGTCATGGGATTTCAACGTACAATGTACGCCCCATCTGTTCATAAGCTCATATATCGCTTTAAGTCCCGGGAATCTACCTGTAAAGCATCCAACTAGGCAAAAACCCCACAACGAGACCATAGAAGGTAACACACAATTTGAAAGATCAACAACTTCATCGTCGGAAGGTAGATATTTCAATTTAATACCTTTAGACGGAGCATGATTGTCTCTAAATAATTTTGCCCATTGTGGGGTAGATCCAGCGGGCCTGGAAGCAGGTGCTGCTACTTCCCCGCTTGGCCCAGGATTAGTTACCAGAGTCAGCCCCGGTAGCTTGGAAGCAAAAATGGGCTTCCCAGGTACAACAGCACTTCCAGATTCTTTGGAAGCAGAAACGGGCATCCCAGGCATAGCAGCAGCCCCTGCAAATGTGTTCACAGTCTTCTCGTCCCCTGCCTTAGCCTTCACACCCTTCACACCCTTCACAGCAGTTCCAATCAGAGCTGGGAACTCGTTGTCTGAGTCCTCCAAAACAGAGAAATTGGACCTAGTTATCCTAGCTGTGGACGCCTCACCCGTTCCTTGTATCTTCTTCCTCGCCATGGTAAAGGTACAGAAAATCACAGAGCAGAGAACCTGTGTTGAAAGACCCGAACCGGACCGGCCGGTTCGACCCGGAAACCGGTCACCCGGCCTTATGTCCGGTCCGGTTGACCATCGACCCGTAAATCTGAGTAAAACCGGGATTAACCAGTAACCCGCCCGAACTCGTGACGGAACCGACCCGTCTCAAACCCGGATTATGCAAAAAAAACCCGGAAAATCTTCACCAGCGGGAGTCGAACCCACGCCACTTGCTTCAATTTTAAGCAGGCAAACCGACGTGCTACACAAGCCAGTTGGTAATTTTGGTTGTTTAGCTCTTTTATAAACTTTTAAGCCTGGAGTATTTTTATTAGTGTTAGTTTATTAGGTCAATAATTAATCAAATTATAATTTAATACTAATAAATACAAATCAATGATATTCTTAACATCCAATTATGTATATAATCTCCCAATATATTTTGTAATTGATACTCCATATTATGTTCATATTTATTATTCATCTAAATCCCAATGTATTTTCAATGTTGTAAAAATCAATATTCTTAAATACAAAAGTTTTTTACATTACTTATATTTTATTATCTTTATTAAATTATGAAGGAATACACTTTTTGTAATAATCAATTTAATCTTTTTATATACTTGTAATTAATTTTTATATGTATTGGTGTTGATCGGGCTTACCGGTCGTTGACCGGGTTGACCCACCGGGTCCGGGTTGACCCGCCGGGTCCGGGTTGACCCGCGACCCAGTCTTCTATCTGGGTCACTCTCCGGTCCGGTTTTTACAACATAGCAGAGAACAGTAACAACAACGCCTCAAACTTACGCAGTTGGCTTTTCAGCCAAAATCGCCGAGAACAGTAAGAAGCCATCGTCCATCATTGAGAGCCAAAAACAAATCATGAACAGTAGTCGGTCGTAATACGTCGTATTAGGTCAAAAAGCGTCTTCAAAACTGGAATCGAAGCACGGAATCAGAATTTGACTGTAAATATGAGTCGGAAACTAACAGCTAACCTTCGAAATCCATCAAATGATCCATGGAAAACCTGTTGCGTACGAAGAAGAACTGGGTCGCCGATGAGCCCAGGAGAGAGACTCTCTCAACTTCGCGTATTGTATTTCATCTAGGTATGGACCGGGACCGGTGAACCGGTACGAGTTCTGGGCCTAGGACTAGCCCGGCGTGTAAGGGCGGGCGGCTCCGGTCTGACCTCCCTTTGAATCGGTCCGACTGGGTTGGGCCCCCTCCGAGCCTTTTTTTTTCATATTTTTGTAGGCCGGTTGGGCTGGGTGTTTTGGGAGGGGGGGGGGGGGGTTGGGGGGTGGTGAGGGGGGAGCGGTGGGGGTTAATTAAAAAGGTAAAAAAAAATTACCCGGTGGAATCCCGAGCCGATTCCGGGCTTGTAGCCAAACCCAAAAAGCCCGACAAGGACTGTCCCGGCCCAGCCCCGGGGCCGGTGCATGCCTAATTTCATCTACAAAACACTTCATATAAAAAAGAGATGCTTTGGACACATATTTCTTTGCACCATTTCTTTGCTCGGATCCCGCCAGCCCGACGCTACGTCTAGGGGTGGACTCGGGTCGGGCCAACCGGCCCGGAACCGGCCTGGACCGGTACTGTTTGTACCCGACGGTCAAATAGCGGTCCGGGCTCGGGCCTGCGTGTGTGTGAACCTGCCCAGCCGGCCCGGGCCCGGTCCGGGCCTCAACGGTCAATTTTTGTTTAAAACAAAAAAATTAAATATTTAGAGGCTCTATAGCAGTTGGGACTGTTCCCAAACGGCTCTATAGCCGTTGCGAGCATAGGAGGGGGGGTCTGGGGGGTTAGGGGGGTGGGGGTGGGGTATACAAAAAAACCTATTTATACTCCTATTTTCTATACATTTTTACACCTCTTCTTCTACAACTCTTCCTACTCTCTAATTCTCTATTCTCTCAATCTCTCATATTCAATCATCTTCATTCTTCATCTTCTCCAAATTCTTTCTACATATATATAATTTATATAATTATTATATCTACTTATATATTAATTATCTACTTATAAATATATACTTATACACATTCATATTATAATTCTTTACACATTATATATACTATATATACTTATACACATTCATATTTACTTGATATTTAGTTATTATCCATACTATTGTTATTTACTTATATTTACATATTACATTTTGTTAATATATACTTATATATATATATATATATATATATATATATATATATATATTAAAGTATTAAGTATAAGTGTATTACTCATCTTATAGTAACATACTTATATATTATATACTATAAACATTATATTATATATTACTCACGAAATATATTATTCACATATTCCGCATATATATGGTATTGCATTTGTTCTTAATCCTCGTTATAAACTTGCTTACTTGGGAACTTCTATAGATTACTATTATGCTTCTTTTTTTCAAACTCAAGAGTTCGATGATAATCCCATCGACCCTAAACAAGAATACAACGAGGTTAGTAATTTATTTCATCAATTGTATAATGAATTTCATGCACAATATGGTAATGCACCCCCTCCCATGCCGTGAACATCTTCTTCCTCTAAAAGAAAATCACTTTTAAAATCTGCATTTGGTTCTCTTTTGAAAAAAAGTAGAGCTACTCCCGCTACTGAACAAAGCTTAGTTAACGAGCTTTCTTTGTATCTAACATTGAATGTTGATTATGAAGTTGAGGATGACTTTGACGTTCTTAAGTGGTGGAAGGAAAATGAAAGAATGTTCCCGGTTTTATCAAAGATGGCTAAGCAAGTGCTAGCAATGCCGATATCAACAGTTGCCGTGAAACAAGAATTTAGTGCGGCCGGCAACATCCTAACCGATTATAGAACGAGATTGAACTCGAGCTCTCTTGAGACGCTAGTTTGCTTCCACGATTGGTTGAAGGCCCAACGAAGAACTCAAGAAATGACCATCGCTCCCACCCGCCACTTTATGGAGGAAATAACCACCGAAGGCGGAGATTCCGATTGATTTTTTATTACAAAATGTATTACATTTATTAAATTCATCCTAATTCTCAATTGTACTTCTTATTTGAAATAAATATACTTGAATTATTTTATATTATTGTGTACATCAATTCAATAATCAACAAAAAAAATTATTCAATAATCAATTCAATAAAACTAATTTGTAAACTTGTACTCCATATTTCAAATAAATATGCGTTCATTTTTTCATATGTAGCACTTCTCAAATTAATTAATTGGTTACAAACTTACAAGTTACAACTTCACATTATTTTTGTAAAATCTAAAGGCTCTTTTTAAATTAAAAATACATTTACAATTTGTAATTTGTTTAAATACTTATACACCTATTTTGTAACATTTGTAAATTATAAATCAAACCACTTTTCTAAGTAAAAATAGTTTTACTTAATTCATTAAATTAATTAACTTATTTTACAATATGTATAATTTTCAAAAAAAAAAAAATTAAAGACATTTTAAATTACAACATAGCTCCCAAACGGCTATATAGCCGTTGGGGCTTAGGGTGGGGGGCAGGGGGGGCTCAGGGGTGGTGGTGTGGGGAGTGGGGTTCAAAAAATTTTATAAATACATCTATTTTCTACCATTTTTTATTTTTTCTACACCTCTTCTCCAACTCTTCTCTATCTTCATCTTCTCTTATAATCCTACATTCCTACTTATACATCTACCATTTTAAAGATGGAAAGTAATTCTTCTCTTATGCAAAACAATTTTGATAAGTGGAAGGACCCGAAGACCGGACTGTGGTGGGCAACTTGCAAGTGGTGCAAGAAAGAGTGTTGCTTGGGACGTTCACATAGAGTCGGGATGCCAATAAAACATATGAAGTCATGTGACAAAGGCAAAACAACAACCAACGGTGGCGGAAATCCGTATTGATATTTATTAGAAAATGTATTTCATATTGTTATTTTTTTCTCAATTCTCAAATGTACTTCTTATTTCAAATAAATGCACTTGAATTTTGTTTTTTTATAAGAATTTGTATAATAATATAACATATAATTAAAAAAAATAATAATAATAAAAGGCCCGGTCCGGCGGGTGGCCCGACCCGTGACCCGGGCGGGTGACCCGGCCCGAACCGGACCCGGGGGTTACCCGGGTCAGTTCCGGGCCTCCCCTTTCCTGAACCGAGGCCCGGCCGGTCCTAGGCCCGGCCCGGGTCCATCCCTAGCTACGTCTTTCAATATAATTATGTATGTTTATATCGCCTCTGTAAGTACCGAGGGCGGGACCTCACTTTCTATCTGTCAGATTGTGATTATAGTTCAATTTACATCTTCTCATCGTGCCGTCCGGTCGGTGTTGGGGCCCCTCAGGGATGGGGTGTCATCTTTTTTTTTTTTTTTATGAATGTTTATATCGTGCATACTGGCTAGTGGCCACAAGACACCAGTCCTTCACCGTTATGGATCTTCAACTACTACGAAAATCTACAACCTTCTTTTACATGTTTGCCAATAAAGAATGATCTCAAAAAGTCCTTCGTGTACAAGAAATACAACCATAAAACTCAGCAACTATATTTGTGAGCTTCACATATGATCTCTTGGCGTATATTTTACCCTTTTGTGCATCACTCAACTTCCGTCTGCAGCTGCTGCTATTAATGAGAACTTTTGAAGGATTGCTAGAGTTTCCTCCAGGGCGCTGACATAACAACAATAGAAATACTATGTATCGTTAAGTTCTTAAGCATTAAAAACACATACATTTTTAATACTCCCAAATATTTGACAAATAACACAGTGAAGCTTTATGCACTACAGACCAAGAAAGCCTTCTGATACCATCCCTATATATGAAATGTGTTCTTTAATCGCTGAGTACTCGCTCAATTCTCCTATTCCGGGTAGGGCCTTGCTGATAAATACTCTGACTCGCACTGATTTTCTCTACTGGTTACAAGGTTTTTGCTTGACGAGTTAAAGATATTTTTATTTGCACTGAAATTTGTTGGTCTGGTCTGAACTGGTCTGGTAAATGTCTGGTCTATGTTTATTTTATAGTTATGGATGTCTGGTCTACTTTGATCTGGTCTGTTTAAACCTGATCTGGTTTGATGTGGTCTGTTTAAATCTGGTCTGGTATTGAAAACAATCCAAGTAACAACATTCTTACATGACAGCCAATAAGTTGATTTTTTGGGGTTAAATCTTAAAAACTAAAACTACATGATTCATGAAATTCATGAATAATTTGTACTTGTTTGAAAAAATAAAAAAATGAGATTATAAAGCTGGTCAAGATTCACGGACATGGAGGATGAGAAGAAAATAATGACGAACTCAATGAAGGTTAGTTTAAGTTGGTATATTAGGTGATTGATTTTAGTGGAAGTTAAAATGTTTATGATTGTTAGGATTTGTTACTACTTCATTATTAAAATTGAAATTTTTAATCATTACTACTCCCTCAATAAAGTGACAACTTTACTCTTATTTCTTACCCTTTTAATTTCCATCCCACTTACCCAAGCGCACCCACCTCTTATCTCTTCCACCACCTTCTCTCTTCCCCTCATATTCAATTTCAATGTTAGTCTCACACGGCCTCCATTTCTGTAAAATATAGTCTCACACGGTCACACCTTTCTCCATAGCCAGAGAAATTATTTCCCTCTTTGAAGATGAAGAAGGATAAAGAGAAGAGGCTCCCTCTTGTTCCATCAAGTCTGGCTCTACTCTGGTTCAAAATACGAAAATCCCCAGGTCCGACGCACCTCTTTGACAGACTTCATCTCAGGTGAGTCACCGCTGACTGCCGTCCTTAGAAACTCCTTCGAACTTATTAATGAGATATTTGCTTCGCGGACAACAGTTGCTCAGTTGGAAGCTTGAGTAGCTGTTGGGGGTGATGGAGAGGCCGCTGCCGGACATCCGCTGGAAGCGAATAAGTGGATCTGGCCATTATCTTTGGTCGGACATGTTGTAGGCCGGGCGGGTTTGTGTTGGTCACCAACTAATCGTTGATGAAGAAGGAAAAAGGAAGACCAGTGTGGACTGTGCAGTCTGTGCCCGACAGATGTTGCAGTTGGGCTAAAATTTTCATTTTTACTTATTTTACTTGTTTTAAAAAAGGGGTAAAATGGTAAAGTAAATGTCAATCTCCGCACTTTCTTAATCCGCGTGCCGATCAACTTTTGCAATTCAAATCGGGACGGAGGGAGAAATATATTCTCTCTGTCCCATTTTATAAGATGTCTTTACTATTCACTTGATCAACACAAATCACTCTTAATCTCTTACTTTATATATCAAAATTTTATGAAATTTGAATTATTTTTTGCAGGTTTTGTAGCAGTTTTAATTTAGTTTTTGAAAATGTAATTTTTATTTTCTAAAATTAATTTGAGTGCACACAGGGATCCGTTTGCTTTATCGTCGGTCAAACATCGTAAACCGAAAAGTATCTTATAATTCGGGACGGAGGGAGTATTAATATAGGGTCAAGTAATCCTCAGCATATTTGTCACCGCGCCAGCCGACCGCCATATCATCTAGGCAGTAAGGCACCCGCTTAGGCGACTAGTCGCACATTGTATAACATATTACTACCTCCGTCCCTTTTATATTGGGACGGAAGAGAGTGTCACAATTTTTAAGAAAAGTGGATTTGTGTGGTTAGTATTAATTGATAAAGTAAGAATGATTTTGAGCCATACAAACTTTACCAAATATGGTATGGGACAATTTTAGTGGAACTTCCCGAAAAGATAAAACGGGACAATATAAGGGGGACCGAGGCAGTATATATTTGTATATATAATTATATACAATGCATGATATATTACAACATTTATCTCACTAATATTACTTCATCTTTCTTTTTCGGTTCACCTCACTAAATTTATTACATACTCTCTCCCCCGTAATATTGGGACGGAAGGGAGTGATGTGGTTTTTAACAAAAAGTAGAATTATGTGGTTAATAATGAAGAATAAAGTAAGAATGAATTAGAGACACAAATTTTACCAAATAAGGTATGTGACAATAATAGGGGGACATTCAAAAATGGAAAAAATTATAGGGGGGCGGATGGAGTACTAAATTTGGTAAAGTTTGTGTGGTTCTAAATCATTTTAGTTATTCTTACTTTATCAGTATCAATCACATAACCCCACTTTTTCATAATAATCGTGTTACCTCCTCATGTCACAATGTTAGTGGGACGGAAGAAGTACTAACTAAATGGTATACAACTTAGATTTGAAACCCACAATTAATAAATGAAAACCAGGTTTATTAATAGGAAATAAGATTAAAAATGTCTCTCAAATAAGCATTGTAAAGACTACTAAGTTCTCAAAAATCATCAAAGACTAAATCATCTTTACGATATTCATCGCCCTCATCATCATCACGAGTAGGAGTAGATGCCTAGATGGTGTTTGGCCATAGTCGTCTAAAAGATCTTCATTATCATTTAGAAAATTATCTTCTTTTTTTCATATCTTCGTCAATCAACCTTAATGAAGAATTTGAACCACGGAGTCTATAATAAATTTGTTCTCCGCGAGATTTACCAATTCTAGGAAGATTATGACCCTCAAGATTGCTTGGTACACCTGCAGCTTCATCAACTTGACTCCATAAATGATAATCATCGAGATGAACAACATCATTGCTAACCCATTCATTGTCCCATTGGAACCCTTCAAATATTAACAGGTTAAAGCTCGTTCCTTGTTCACACCACATCTGAAACCTAGTTGCTATCCTCCAATTATACTGAATAAAAACAGTCATTCAACCTTTCATGCTCCAACCTGCTTTTTTTGTATGAATCTAAAAAAGTGTATGTTTGATTAGTATTGTAATTTAATTAGTCAAATCTTACGTAATTTGTAATTGTAGTACTACTACTTATAAACTCAAAAGTACTCCAATTAAGCTCACAGGCATAAGAGGTACAACAGAGACCAATTATGTGTTTTGCGAATGATTGCAGTTCAACAGTGAGTCCACCAAAAGCAATCTACCAATCAAGTATAAATTAGTCACAAATATAATGTTTCTTCACAATTCTTTAATGCTCCATAAAAAATGCCAAAACAAAAAAAAGTCAATTTCCTCCCTCATTCGCAAAACTCCTGAGGGAGGTTGTTGATGAAAGACATGTGAAAGGCCCCACGCAAAGTACATTATCACAATGTACAAAAAGAAAGGAGGATAAAGAGAGGGTCATCGTGCACATAGCTGATTTTTTAATGGTAACGGCATTCCTTGCAATGCAGCAAACCCCAGGAGCTATGAGATCATGGCGGAGTCAATTGGGCAGTACCAAGACTTAAGCCTCCTAATTATCATAACTTGCGTGTACCACTTCTTCAGAAAGCAAAGACAGAGACAGTATGAGAGAAACATGAGGTTGCTTGGAACGAATACGAACGCACACTTATGTCCGATGGATGGTCTGGCCGAATCTAGCGACACCTGATTAATTTCCTTGTCCAGAAGGCACTTTTTTTAGACTCAATTGATGCATCAAATAAATTTCAAGATGCAAGATTGTTAGCAGGTTTGCTTGGGAGAAAAATCGAAGAAGTTGGAGTAGATCTAAATTGGTTGCCACAGAAGCAGGAAAGAAGGTAAGTGATATTGTATTATCTACTAGATTCTGGAGTGCAATGGAAGATTGCATAAGAGCTTCACAAGCACTTCTAGTTGTCCCGAGGATAGTAAATGTCGATGAAAACCTGACTATGCCAGAGCTTCCAATAGCCATGGATTATTACAAGAAAAAATTCAGTGAGTCAATTCAAAACAAGCCTAGAATTTTGAGAAGTCTAAATGGAGGTCAAAGTATAAGGGGCAGCTTTGTTTTTCAATCCTAAATATTTCGATCTCAAACAGACAAATTCAGCATCTGCATCAGGGCAACGAATGATGTTTAAAGACGTGCTTGAAAAGTTGGTCACTAGTGAAACACTACAAACCAAGATAAGTCATCAAAAAACAAATTACGACAAATTGTGAGGAAGTTTTGCAAAAGCAACTTGTCAAGCAACAAAAAACTAAGAGTCAATTGAAGTGATATTGTTATTATATTTAAAAAAGTAAACATATTAAAATGTAACTAATATTTTATTGTGACTAATTTATAATTTATTGATGGGATGTTATTGGTGGACTCACGACTGAACTGCAATCATTCGCAAAACACATTGTTAGTCTCTGTTGTACCTCTTCTAGATGTGAGTATAATTGGAGCACTTTTGAGTTTGTAAGTAGTAATATTTGAGTACCAACTACAATTACAAACTACAAAGGAGGATTTTGACTGATTAAATCATAATACCAATCAAATATATTTTTATTTTTTTTAGATTCATATAAAAAGATTCATTATTTTTTGGCTTGAGAATATGATGGAATAAAGCAAAATGGCTCACTAACTGTCTGCACTTCTTTGTTATGAAGCATCAGTCAGTCCATGCAATTTTGGACGCGATTTTCACTACGGGTCATCCGGAAACAATTTTTATGTGCTTGTACAGGGGTAAGACTGCGTACATCCAACCCCCCCCCCCCTACCCCACCATAGGTGGGAAGCCTTTGCGGCACTGGGGTAAATGAAAATGAAAATGAAATGATAGATTCATACAAAAAGAAGAAGCACGTTGGAACATAAGTGGTTAAATGACTTGATTTTTATTCAATATAATCGGAGGATAGCAACTAGATTTCAAAAGCGGTTTGAACAAGAAACGAGCTTCAACTCGTTAATATTTGAAGAGTTTAAATGGCCAATGGGACAATGAATGGGTCAGCAACGATGTTGCTCATCGCAGTAATGATCTTTTATGAAGTCAAGTTGATGAAGTTGCAGGTCCATCAAGCAATCTTGAGGGTCGTAATCTTCCTAGAACTTCTAGCTCTCGTGGAGAATTGGTCTATTATCGACACCATGATTTGACTTCTTCATTAAGGTTAATTGACGAAGACATGAACAAGAAGAAGACGATTTTCCAAATGATGATGAAGATGTTGAAAATGACTAATGGTCAAGCACCACATACTCCTACTCGTGATGATGATGATCAGGGTAATGAAGGGCATAGAGATGAATCTGGTGATTTAGTCTTTGATGCTATTTGAGAACTTAATAGTTTGATCTTTTCAGTGCTTATTTGAGACTGACATTTTTAATCTTAATTCCCATTAGTAAACCTTGTTTTCAATTATTAATTGTGGATTTCAATTCTAAGTTATATACAATTTAGTTAGTAATATATAATTATATATATATATAATTATATATTGGTATAATATACTACCTCCATCCCGGTAGACTTTGTCAAGTGCATAGCAGGTGAGAAATAAGAATAGTAAAAACTATGTGGTTGAGATTTGTGCAGAGGAGAGAGAAATGTGCAGAACCATAAATTAGTTGCTTTAATAGGAATGTGGCAAAATTTTTTGGGTTTTTGTCTTGAATATTACTAATAAAAGGGCAAAAAGCAAAAAAAATGATCTTTTTAAAAAATTCCTGAAATGTGACTAATAAGTGACAAGCTTGCTTATATACACACTGCTACAGTGACACAAGACACAGTGACATCCACCCTCCTTGCCACTGTAGCCGCCACTCGTGTCACTGTGGCCGTCGCTCGTGTCACTGTAGCCGCCGCTCGTGTCACTGTAGCCACTACATGTGTCACTGTAGCCACCGCACGTGTCACTAAAGCCGCCACTGCCTGTGTCACTATAGCCACCGCTCGCGTCACCGTAGCCGCCGCCGCACTGTGGCCACCGCCGCAGGTCACAGTCACCGCCGACGGCACCGCCCATTACCTCCACCTCGATAAACTCTGGCCACCTACAGCTACCACCGCAACATTCCGGCCACCACCGCAACATTCCGGCCACCACCGCAACATTCCGGCCACCACCATAACACCCAGTCACCGCCGCAACACCCCAACCCAGCCCCACAAGCCCTGCCCCATCCCCATCAGCCCTGCCCCACACCACTGGACCTGCCCCTGCCCCTGCCCTCAGCCCCCAAACCCAATCGACAATTCCCAGCCCTAGCCCCCAACCGCCATCCCACAACGTCCACCAGTAACCTAGCCACAAACTCCACTGATTTAGATTCCGAACATCCCATCCCAGACCTGAAATTTTAACCGATAAAAACGACGAAGAAGCCCCCAAAATCGAACAGATTGAAAAGAAATAGAAGCAGGGGCCACGGCGATGACGACGACGACTGCGGCGTTCAAGGACGGTTGAAACCAGATGCGACGGACTAGGGATGGTGGTGATTCAGACTGACGATCTGGAGGTGGAGATGTCATCTTCGGCGCATCTTTGTCGAAGGATGTTGTTTGGAGCTGTGGAGATAACCGATCTGGAGGTGGAGCTGTCATAACCGGCTTTTGAGAGAGAGGTTTGGGCGACGAGGATACGGATGGAGACGATGATGGATGAGCTATGGCGCAGGGGAGACGGATGGCGTAGGGGAGACGGATGGCGCAGGAGAGGCGAGTTGTGTAGATCTGGATCGGGAAAGAAGGATATGGTCACTTTTTTGTGAAGTCTAAAAGAAGTCATATTTTTGCCTATTAAAACCTTATAGGTTATATTTGGGCCATAAATGGAAAATTGTTTTCCTTAAATAGCTTTTAACTAACAAAGAAGTCATTTATGTACAAATATAACATCTAACGCACAAAAACAAGAAAACAAATCAAAATGTATGAGGAACATGAAGCCCTATTCTAGAAAGAGAGGTTTTCCATAGAAGTTACAAAAAACCATTCAAATATTTTACTCAAGAAAAATGTCTTTCCGTACCAAACCCATGAATGTCGAGAAAACCTTTTCAAGATAAATATATGGCGTTTGGACAGAAAAGAATAACAAAAATTTGATTGCTTTTCAAATTTTTTAAAAAGGTGATTGTGGTGATACCGCCTCACATGTCAGTATGTCACTATGACCTGCAGTTTCCGGTGACCTTGCAACAATCTTTTTCTAGCAACTTTTTGTGATGGATTTTCCCATTGATTTTGTTGGTATGTTTCTGGCAAGAGTCCGAACGGAGGCGGGGAGGATAATAAGAGAAAAGCTATTTTGGTCGTTATTTAGTCAGTTTGAAGGTTATTATGGTTTAAGATTGAGATATTACCCAAAATGGGACTAAAAAAGTTTGGAAATTCCAAAATAAGACTTCCGTGTTTTTTTTCCGTAAATAGGACTAATTACTGTCATGTTTTGGCAGTACCAGACTTCAAACATGACAGTATTTTCCAAATTTGGCAGTGATTAGTCCTATTTTGGGAATAAAAACATGACAGTCCTATTTTGGAATTTTCAATCTTTTTTAGTCCCATTTCGGGAACTTTCCCTTTAAGATTATTTAGTCAGTTTTTTAAGAAATATTTGAAGGTTGTCATATTTTCTTGAAAAGCTATTTTGGTCATTCTTTCTAAACATATTTTCGTGGAAACAAACGGAGCCTTAAACAAAGCCAAGTTTGCATGCTTACCTTCCAGATCGTAATATCTTGTACTTTCCTTGTTTAGTGAGATCCACCACGGTGGAACCTGCACGCCTAGCTGGAAGAACACCACCATCAAAGATATACGCGCAGTGCCCCCAGAGGTTCTCAAAGTCTCTGATCTTGATGCTGCTAGCTTGACCACTAAGATTTGCGCTTGTAAGTGCAAGTGCACTTCCAGAACAGCGGGCAATTACCCTAATAAAGTTATTATCTGGTACTCTAACTCCTATGCTCTCAACTCCAGGGTTTAAAGATTTCTCAAGGATACTTGACTCACCTGCAAATAAATTCAGAAAATTGATATTTGGGTACATGTACCATGCCTTCTGCTACAATGCCTAAGCTAAGGCTCCGCTTGTTTACAGGAAAATATCTTTTCATGGAAAATGTTTCCCTGGGATTCAGGATATGCTTTCTTGGAAAATATGTTGTTCTATACTTCTATGTATGTAAGTATGTTTTGCACATAAAAATAGAAACGTAAAAACTGTTTTAAGAATAAGGTGAGTTATTTTTCCAAAAACTGCACAAAAGCACGATTTTTTTCCGCAATATCAAAGAAATATCCGCCCAAGAAAAGCTTTCCATGTCTCTAAAACAGGGAAACCAAAATGTGTTCTCGAGGAAATAAATTGTATTGGAAATGAACAGAGCCTAAACAGAAAAAGACACAAACCTCGGCTTAGCACAAGAGTAACAGGACCAGGAAGGAGAGAGTGAAGCAAGCCGTTGGGTAAATGATCAGTGAACGCATACTTGTGAATGTCATGAACATCCCCAACACAAATGGCAAGTGGATTTGTATACTTGCGCCCTTTAATCTCATATATATGATTAACTGCCTTGGCAGAACTGCGATAACAACATACAATGTTAAAAGAAATCATGCGAGTGTATAGAAATCTGCGAAGTAGATATGCTTTGGGATTCAGTACCAAACTTAAAGAGAAACAATCCTAAATTATCCAATTTAGCATTTACTGTTCAAGGTACGGAGTAAATAAATTTACATAGACAAGTAAAATGGGTGTCCCTATTCCTACACCATTGACTTCAAACCGTACCCTCTCAATAATAGCAAAATTTCTTTCTTGCGCAGTTTCACCTAACAATAAACATAAAATATGACACACTGTGAATGATAGAGATGAAGTTAACTGAATGGAACTCCAGCACAGAATCACAGTTCAGATTGCACAAAGAAACAACACTTACGAAAGACAATGCAGGAGGACAAGTATTTCATTTAACGAGCTATATTGAAATAGTAAAAACGGGTCAACTTTAAGGGAAATAATGGATGGGACTTACCAAGCGTCACAAGCAAAGCCATAAAGTGTATCAGTGGGGACAGCAATAACATGGCCAAACTTTATAGCTTCAATTGCAGCATCAGCATAACCTTCTATTGCCGGTCTCACCACTCCCAAATTCATCTTATCGCCCAAACAAACCCCAACCAATCCCCTTTGGCACTGCCCTGATCTCGAAATACCAATTTTCCTGCTCACCCCTGAAGGCCCAAAGATAAATAAAAAATCTTGAACACCAAAAAATAAGCATTTATACCAAGATACTATTGGTTCTGTTATGTATCTTCATCAGCCTTATTCAGCAGAATAAAAACTTTTGACTTATTGATTTGGCCAGAATTAATGTCACCAAGCGCTTTTCCTTTAAGAAAATCTAAGGGATTATTCTTCCATTTCAATCAAATACTTTTTACTAAAGGCCCTATATTTGTTGAGTAAATAACAAAGAGAAAACAAAAAGATTTAGTGATGTGCAAATATGCATGATATGAGAGATTGTGAAGAACCTAGAGAGGGCAGGAGAAGAGGGGCAAGGAGAGACACTCGCTGGGCAATTCTTATGCTTTCAGGGGGAAGGTTCATCAGCAACTTCTACTTTTTGCTTACGGCTTTGCTTTGGAGACTCAGAAGATTTTGGCACGAGCTTTTGAAAACAAGCCTATGCCATATTCCATTAGGAAAATATTGAATTGAAAGATGTATTATGTAAAATCTTATAAGTCCTCCACATAGCTAAAATTCTAAGATGGATTTATTGTGAGTGTATACACATAACCTCATATTCTTAGATGCATAATAACGATATATTGGATATATCATATCATCATCATTATCATTACCCAATGCCGCAAAGGCTCCCACCTACGGTGGGGTAAGGGGGGTCGGATGTACGCAGTCTTACCCCTATACTAAAGCACATAGAGACTGTTTCCGGATGACCCATCGTGAAAATCACATCGAAAATTGCATGGACTGACTACTGCTTCATAACAAAGAAGCGCAGACAGTTTAATGAGCCAATTTGCTTTATTTCATCATATTCCCAAGCCAAAAAATAGCGAGTCTTTGGCTCCATTGCAAATGATGGAAATATATTGGATATACGTAGTATCATATATTCATAAAAATTAAACATGTTAACATCGATATTGGACTCCTCACCCCATTGTTTAAAACCTGTGTTTAAAGAACCGGACCGGACCGGGCAGTACGACCCGGAACCGGACCACCCGGCCAATTATCCAGTCTGGTTAACCTCTAAACCGTTAATATGCCTAAACCCGGAAATACACGGCGAACCGTGTACACCCGCACGGGAACCAGCCCGGTCCAGACCCACTAAATAGCAAAAAACCCGAAAGTAATGACGCCTGAGGGAATCGAACCCGTGCCTCCAGCCTTTCAAATTCCTTCCCATCCGCTGCACTACACTTGCTTGTTGTTATAATGTTGTACTTACTGCATTTTATACCTTTTAAAACTTGCAACTTTTTTTACTCTACATAAATAAACTAAATAATAGAACAATCATAATTCATACAAACTAATTCTATTAATGTACTTCCCAATTATGTATATCATCTTCCAAATATATTTGTTTAATTTGTTTATTTTTTGTAATTGGTGTTATGTTTATTTTGGTTATTCACATAATTTTAATTTTATACCTTTTAAAACTTGCAACTTTTTTTACTTAATAAATAATAGAACAATCATAATTCATACAAACTAATTCTATTAATGTACTTCCCAATTATGTATATCATCTTCCAAATATATTTGTTTAATTTGTTTATTTTTTGTAATTGGTGTTATGTTTATTTTGGTTATTCACATAATTTTCATTGTATTTTAGACTTTGTTAAAATCAATACAATTGTTTTTTATTTTTCTTATATTTTATTATCAATTTTAAATTATAAGGGAATACAAATTTTTTATTTATGAATTTAATGTTTTATATAATTATATATACATGCATATATATATATATATTTAAATATTTAATTATTAGTGTTGACCGGGTTTCGGTTCATTGACCGGGCTGACCCGCCGGGTCCGGGTTGACCCGTGACCCAATCTGATAGGGATCTACCTATTAGACTATTAGATAGAAGAGTTATATGTCGGTTATTCACTAATAACTAGTCTGTGGTATGGGAAGTCTATAAATAGAATAGTCTGGGAAGGGGGAAAGAGGCTTTTGGACTTTAGGTCCGGGACTGGGAAGATTAGAGATTATTCATCTCTTCTCTTTGGGGCTTCGGCCTTGTTACTGTTACTATTCATCTTCTTCAATAAACATTTTCAGTTTGTTTCTTGATCTTTTTTCTGTAAATCTTTCTGGAATCTTGGGGTTCTATCATTGGTATCAGAGCATACTTCCTGGGGACCGAGAATTTGAATCATGGAAGAATTTTGTACACCAGAAATGGAAAAGAGGATAGAGTCGCTAGAGCGGGAGCAGACATGGATGATGAAGAAGTTAACAGAAATGAGAAAGATGGCGGAACAGTTGAACAGACAGCTAGTGGCGATGAACAAAATTCAGGCGAGAAGGAGTTCGAAGAGCAGATCGCACAGTTCACATCGCTCTTCGCAGAGTTCGTTGCGTCGCTCTTTTCATCGCTCGTCGATAACTGACAAAGTAAGTTCGTCACAATCGTTCACCAAGTCGCTGTCGGAATCGCGAACCACTTCTTTTGGTTCGAAATCGCGAACTTTTACGCACCTTTCACAATCGCGAACAGAGTCTTTCCTTACGCAAAATGATTCAGCGACTATTACTTCACATCCAGGGAAGAACCGATTGAGAGGAGAATCTTCAATTTTGTCTCTGGACTATTCTTCCAATTCACAGGCATCTTCACTTGCGGAAATTCATAACTCGTCAACACAGGCCCATTCTCTCGATCGTTCACAAGTGTCTACGCAGTCGTTACCTGATTCTTGGAGTTCTTTGGTTGGGTCGCATCACCCTGAACAAGAAGTGAATACATACACTCCAACAAAGTCAGCCTATGATAGCGGCTCAAGAAGCAAGGACCAAGAGCAAGGAAAGTGGGCAAACTCTTCGGGCTATGGTATGATAGGGGATTACTTAACTGGGAAATCATTTTTGCAAATTGCAGAAGTACAAGAAGTACAATTGCAACCATGGGTTGAGAGAAGGCTAGGCGAACCCAAGCTTGACTTACATAATCCATTTAAAGCACCTTCAGTTCAACAATTGGAGACGAAAGAGGAATTTGTGAAAGAAATAGAAAATGTTGATTCATCAAATAACCTCAAAGCTCTAAAGGTGCAATATCCTTCATCAAAGGGAATGTTGGAAGAGAAGAATCAGATTGAGGACTTCAAAATTGAAGGTGTGAATTCTATGGAATATATCCTAAAGGGATTGGGAGTGGTAGGATTAACTGGGAAGGATAAGGAAAAGATTAAGGAAAAGACAGTAATCTGTATAAGTGTTCCCGTTGGGGGTGTAGTTTGTGACCATCAGTTTCAGATGGCTAGCGCCAGTAAAGGAATCAAGGCTGCGGATGATAAGAAATATGATATAGTAGGGGTAGTCTACATTGAAACTCTTGTTGTTGGGTTATGGCAGGCCATTGATGATGGAAATCCAGTTTTTATGACCACCCTACTAAGAGGTTCTTCCAACTGTTTGACTGAAGTTTGTATGTGTACCCGTGAAAAGGTTAAAACTGGTTTGCTCTGTGATCCATTCAGAGCTGTAAATCCTCAGATTATGTTTGCCTTAGGTGAGAGAATACAGAATTATAATGAAGATCTTTGTAAGAAAGTTACTGTTGCTCTTTATGAGGTTCCTGGGATGGATCCAACTGAGGTCAATTCTTTTGAAAAGATGTGGGAACAAAAACTAAGAATTCTACAGGAGATGCAGAAACTGGGAGAATCTTACGACACCAAAGGGGATTATGCCACCATGTCTTTACTTATGCTCTTTTCTGCTGAGGACTGGAGAATGAAAATTCAAGTGCCAAAGCTAAAATCACAGAATTCAGAAATGTACTGGGAAGGAAGAGGCATCATAATGAAGATGAAGCTGTTAGTGACGGCTGTTTCCTATCACCCACCTTGAGGGCAAGGTGGATGTTTAGGAGGGGAGTATTGATAGGGATCTACCTATTAGACTATTAGATAGAAGAGTTATATGTCGGTTATTAACTAATAACTAGTCTGTGGTATGAGAAGTCTATAAATAGAATAGTCTGGGAAGGGGGAAAGAGGCTTTTGGACTTTAGGTCTGGGACTGGGAAGATTAGAGATTATTCATCTCTTCTCTTTGGGGCTTCGGCCTTGTTACTGTTACTATTCATCTTCTTCAATAAACATTTTCAGTTTGTTTCTTGATCTTTTTTCTGTAAATCTTTCTGGAATCTTGGGGTTTCTATCACAATCATATTTCCGGGTCGCTCTCCGGTCAGGTTCTTTAAACATAGTTTAAAACCTCTAAATTTGCATTCAAAGCCCCAAATTTTGGGTGCAATGTTTGGGGGTGCAAATGTTTAATCTATAAACAACCCACTTTCGGGGATTTGGTTTGCAAAGTCAGATGGTTTAAAGATTGGGATGAAAAGTCCAATATCGAAGTAAAAATGGAATTCAAACTCAATTTATAACTCTTATACATTAATAATCCCGGTCCAATTTTATATTTTCTTTTTTTCTTTTTTTCTTTTATCTTCTTTATCTTTCTATGTTCTTATGTTATGTTTATATTTCTTATGCTCTTGTATCTTTTTATCTTTTATCTTTCTAATGTTCTTATATTATTTTTATCTTGTATTCATCTTTATCTTATCCATTTATTGTATTTTATCATTTTATTCTTCTTATCTTTCTTCTCTTTTTGGCTCTGATATCATGGATCTATTCATGTTGTTTTTGTTGTTGTTGAGCAAAACTTCTTCCATCTCTAGTATTTGTTTCTTGATCCTTTTAGGCAGATAAAAAGCATGGATGGATCGAAGTACCTTTCGATTGCATATTTACATTTAATGTCAGCATTTCTTCATTATCTCATGGTTTGTAAAGCATCAGAATAAATATTCTTAATGATTTTTTCCTAACTACAATACACTGGATTTCAAATTCAGTCTTATTATTTTCCTAAATAGTTTATGTTC